CTCTACTAGTACCCAGGAATGGTAAAAAAATTTATTTTCGGAGATTCAAAATTTCCTGATGACTAGCATCAGTCATCATCCCCTCTAAATGACTTGAGTTTGGGTGAAGGTGAAACAGTTTCCCCGATGCAGAACCAAACAGCAGTTTAACTCTGTTTTCACGATCAAAATGAGGGGCTCAACCTAAAATGTCAATGAGATGATGTCGAGTGTTGACAATCGAAATCAATCGGTCTTCAGATCAATATAAACCGCGAAGGAACATAGAAAGAGACATACATCGAATACTCACGTTGGCATTTATGTTGATAAGAAAAGACAAGTTTCTATATTATGATCGGCAACGCTAAACAATCACGTCGATGTTCTATTTAGAGATCTCCACTTGGCGAATTTTGGCAAGTGGATTTGGTTGACTTTTTCGATCAAATTCTGATGAAAAACGCTTTTTTCAATCCAACTTAATCCACTGGTCTGTTGAGCTCATCAGCAACGGGAGTCTGAACTAAATTCAAAATTTCTCGACCCACCTCCGGAGGTAGGTCGAAAAGTGGACAGGAGTGAACGGTTTCACCAGAAACCTCGTAGGGCAATCAATTTTTGTAAAATGCCGGTCTTCTGTGACAAGAACAAAAACTGAGCAACAACAACCGCGGTGAGGTGATGGTGATGAAGTAAAGTGTAAAAATGCACAAATTTTTGCACATTTCTATTATAATATGTGGGATATTTTATATAATAGGTTGAGTCGTGTCGCATTGACCAATTGGCGCGCTTTTTTGAACCTAATCCGGGTTGTGTCCCGTTTTCTTCAGGATTTGGTTGAAAATTATACTCGATTCTGATTGGTCCAAATTCCAACAGTGATACAACAGTCCTTTATCCAAAAAGTAAACCGAATCCGTGTGCGAAAATGCTACCTTTCTAGAGGTCCATTTCGATTGATGAAGTTTTGAAGAAAACTACATCTTCCAAAAAAAAAAAAAAAAAAAAAAAAAAAAAAAAAAAATTAAATTTTTCTACAAAATTTCGGCCCAACCCAAAAAAACTCACTAGGTACCTATTAAAAAGGAAATAATAATAAAATGAGACATCCAAAACATGTGATGGCGGCACCGTTGGGATTCATAATTTAAAAGTAATACCTTTCTAGAGGTCCATTTCGATTGACGAAGTTTTGAAGAAAACTACGTACATTTCGGTGGTGGTACAACAGAGTGGTCCATTGTTTTTCACCGGAGGGTGCACAGAATATCTTGGTGCAATCTATCTTGGTTTAGTTGCGCAGGAATTGGAAGTCGCACTGGAAGCTGCGGTGAGTCAGGAGATGATTGGAGCTTAGTATGCTTAAATGCAACTTATAAATAGGTACATAAAGACCTTAATGCATAAAAGCTTGAGCATAGGCTAGGGCCGTGGCGTAATTGGAGACTCATTGAGGGAGACTGACAGGACATCATTAGAAGTAAATTACTAGCATCCTGGCCCGACCCGGCCCGCTCCCCATATAAGCCTCATAATCAATCCTTCCAAGCTCCACTAACTCGAGGCCCGGCTCCGCTGTTGGTAGATCGTCCCCGAAAAATAATCCAGAGTCCTCAATGACGTCACATTCCCAGTGACAAATCTCATCACGGTAAAAGAAAACCAGGCTACGTATATTGGAGACAGTTTGAAATTTCTATAACACCACTGATTGGCTCAGCCATCTTAGGCTGAATGGAGCCCTTAGGACCCAAAAATGGCGGACGCCATAAATTAATGTAATGCAAAATGACTCAAAATGTAGTTTTCTTTGCTTATCGTAACGAGAAATNAAAAAAAAAAAAAAAAAAAAAAAAATTAAATTTTTCTACAAAATTTCGGCCCAACCCAAAAAAACTCACTAGGTACCTATTAAAAAGGAAATAATAATAAAATGAGACATCCAAAACATGTGATGGCGGCACCGTTGGGATTCATAATTTAAAAGTAATACCTTTCTAGAGGTCCATTTCGATTGACGAAGTTTTGAAGAAAACTACGTACATTTCGGTGGTGGTACAACAGAGTGGTCCATTGTTTTTCACCGGAGGGTGCACAGAATATCTTGGTGCAATCTATCTTGGTTTAGTTGCGCAGGAATTGGAAGTCGCACTGGAAGCTGCGGTGAGTCAGGAGATGATTGGAGCTTAGTATGCTTAAATGCAACTTATAAATAGGTACATAAAGACCTTAATGCATAAAAGCTTGAGCATAGGCTAGGGCCGTGGCGTAATTGGAGACTCATTGAGGGAGACTGACAGGACATCATTAGAAGTAAATTACTAGCATCCTGGCCCGACCCGGCCCGCTCCCCATATAAGCCTCATAATCAATCCTTCCAAGCTCCACTAACTCGAGGCCCGGCTCCGCTGTTGGTAGATCGTCCCCGAAAAATAATCCAGAGTCCTCAATGACGTCACATTCCCAGTGACAAATCTCATCACGGTAAAAGAAAACCAGGCTACGTGGCTTGGCGACAGTTTGAAATTTCTATAACACACTGGAAAAAAATTCTTGGCGTTTTTACGAAGGTCCGTTGGTACCTTTACCACCTCACTTTTTTTACCAATTATTGTTAATTTTACCAAGACAGACTGGTAAGCTTACCTAAAAACCGGTATTTTTACTGTTTTTCTCAGGTAAGGATGCCACTTTTATTGGTAATCAATTCCCGGTAACTTTGCCATTTTATCTCGGTAATTCTACCACAGTCGATAAAAAATATTGGCGTTTTTACCGGGGTCCAGTAAAATTACCGAGAAAGTCAATAATTTTACCGAGATTTCTCGGTAAAATTGCCAATTCCATAAATGGTAATTTTACCAAGAAAAAACTGGGATGAAATAAAACCCTGAATTCTTGGTAATTTTACCCTTTTCTCAGTAAAAACACAGAGATTTTTTTTCAGTGCATGCACAAACAGAGTGCCGAAATATCCTAGATGGTCCACAGAAATCGTTTCTAATTATCAGCCGGTCTCTTGTGATGTAGTGATTGTAACGCTGGCCCTATGATCAGGAGGTCCTGGGTTCGATTCTCGGCCAGGCGACCTGAGTTTGATGGTCTCAGGCGATGGTCACCTGGGGCTGGTGGTAAGCTGGGATGAACCAAAAGGCTATTATTTGAGGCTTGATAAAGAAAGAAAAAAAATGCAAAAAAAAATATCAATGTAGTCCACATAATTGGCAAGTATCTGGAAAATTATCTGCATCAAATATCGTCATTTCGAAGGGTTCCCATTCTAATGGTTGTAAAATTGACTCGAACAATCTACTCCGTCGCGAGAATATTGCTAGGTATGCTAATTTTGTTCAAAATATTACTGATTTTGTGTCGAGTCAGAAGAAAACTTTTTTTCTCTTGTCTCAAATTCCCTATGGTTTCTATTTACGAGGAGTAGAGAGACATTCGACGGAAGTCGTGGAACCCCGTGTTCGCTTCTGATTGATGCCGGATGACATCTTTCTGTTCTATACGCCAAAGCGAGGCGTTTCAAATGGATTGCATTTTGCAAAAAGGAACCACTAGCGTTGCAATGTTGCTAAGATTGTGCAACTTCTTTTGTCTTGGAGGAAAAACCCGATTATCCCTTAATAGTTTCTATTTTACTCGCTAAAAACTGTAAATTTAAGACAAAAATTACCATCTAAATTTCATAGTTTTTCACAATTTCCGCAATTTTATTGCAAAGGATGAAGTTGCACAATCTTAGCATCATTGCAATGCTAGTGGTTCGCTTTTGCAAAATGCAATCCAAATTTCCGGAGAGGTTGCGCTTTCTGAACTGCGCATTTCTCGGTTTCTGAGTTACTTTTTCACGTTTTCAATGTGCGTCGTGTTTTATGCGTCATTTGCCTTCAGAAATGTGAATTCACAAGTCAAAATTTGTTCATGGTTTAGTGAACTATTCTGCTGCACTGGTAACTTAATGGGAGTAATGTCACTATTCCAATCCTTCTACAATCGAAAAAGTTGGACCGTATTTTTCCTTGTGCAGTCTGTAAATTGTAGGTTTTCATGGTAGCCCCTACGCTACGCTCAGAGTTTTCGACCGAGGTGAGCAAACGAGATGACAGTACAGTTCGAGACAGAGTTTATTATGTTATCATAAACAGGGGATCCGGTATAGAAAAAAAAAAAAAATGTCTGATTAATTTTTGACCTTTTTGTATATTTTAGTTCACGAGAAGGTTGATACAACCCCGAAACGCTCGAAGTATTTTGATATTTGTTTTAGCTTACTTTACCTTTTTTTGTGTTTGATTACTTGATTGGATTCATACTGATCCTCATATTTTGAGTAATTAATGATATGATGGTGTGACATTGATAACAGGTCAAAGAGGAAATAAGATATTTGCAGAAATGTCCATCAAGAACGCTTGTATACCTATTAATACGATTTCTGATTGCATACTCTGCTCTATTTTCCCTTAAAGCCATTAGACGCTAGCCGAATAATTCGTCATTTCCCGGGCAGAGGAACGGAACTCAATTCCAATGTTGCAAAATTGACTTAAACAATTCAATTTCTTACACGAATGTACCTGGACAGTTTTTGTTAAAAAATTGTCCGATTTTAACATGACATTATGAGAGGAAAAACCAGTGGAATTTTCAATTGGAAAGTCCCAAAATTCTCCTGGTTCAAGTGCGATTTTTTCAAGTTTCAAGTGAAATTTGGCAACATTGAAATGGAGTTACATTCTTTTATGAGAGAACGACGAATTGACCCATCGGAGAATTGTCAATATCTCTCCAAAATCCGGCGTGATGGTGAATTCTTGCAGAGGAGTTAATTGACTCTCGGCGCTTCATGCGTGGGAGAGTGAGAGCGGTCGGATGAAGATTGTCGCAATTTTCTCCCTTAAAAAATTTAGTGGACAGAGCCATTGCATTGAAGCAAAATTTGTTCAAATTTTGATTTTTTGATGTCATCAATTGATTTTTTGTTTGTTTTGGATTCCTGATTGCAGGCGAAGATGGAGCGGCATGGCTGAAGAATTGTCGAAAACAGGCGAAGATATGCTAGCGACTGTAACAGCGTCGATTCATAAACCTGTACTAAGCCCCGGACAACCTCATCTCCTTAAATCAGAGGTTAGTTCCAATCCTTACTTTAAATCGCATGCTTTGGAATAGGATAAATGAGGGACTTGGAGGACAAGAAGCATGAGTGCAGTTTTTGCTATTTCGAGGAATACGTGTTTGAAGTTTCAAAATTACATGGATCCTTATGGCGAAAAGAAAGTTCAAACTGATTTTTTGATGCCTTGGAATCGGAATTGGGAGCTATTTTTTCACAGAATATGTATTAAGACTAGTTGTACTCGAAATCAGTAATATCTCAATTTTTCAAAAGCTGCGCTTATGCGTATTTGTCCTCCAAGCAGTCAAAACCACTCAAATAAAAGGATAAAAAATTATCGATCAGGCGTGCAGAAAGTTCCAAGCCCTTTCTTCGCTCATTCAGTCAACCTCCCCCATTACTGACCATTACTCATGATCGCTTCCCCGCAGCTTGAACCGGTGAACCCCAGTTGCAGTTTTCCCCGCGAAATTTTGTGGACCCAGTACCATTTCTCCATCTTTGTTACATGCAGTTCGGGCCACTTCTTAATGTTTTTTCCCCTCTCTCTCTCTCTCGTGGAGGTTACTTTGTTTTCTACTTTCCCTAACAGATAACATAATTTATCTTGTGTTTTCGTGGTAACAGGTTGGCTGCCCTTTTGGGCTCTATAGGAACTCCATATTCCGATACGCCCATACTCTCCTCATATAGGTGCTCTGCTAAAGTCTATGAAACCACCTGAACGGGTGATCTTATTCTGCGCGTTACTTGGTGGCTCAGCAAAGTGACGTAAGGGAGACTGGGCCACTGAGCTGTGAAGGCTAATAAAATGACGATAACAAGACGACAAGAAATGCAACTAGCAACTACTAAGTGGGTAACTAGAGAAATAAATGACCAAGAGTGCACGAGCGGCTGAAGAGTGGTGATTTCCTGCAACCTCTTCCTTCAACTAGGCTAAACTCACTGCCACTCGCCGATTCAATTTTACCCTGTAACTCCTCAATTTAACCTCTTTTGTCGAGCCTCGTTCTCCCGTCTACCGTCAAGTATCTGCCCCATCGTCATCATCATCCATTTCTCTAAATTCCAATTTATTCTTGTATATAGGTATACCTACACTAAGATCTACATAAATGGACACTATGGCAGCCCGAAAACATAGATATAAAATAGGTCGGGAAAAAGCTGGGACGAGGCTGAAAAACACAAAAATTTACACAACACGGGACGTTTCAACCGGTCTTCCGGTCATTATCAACCGCTGAAAAAGAAATAATTAAAAAATATTAAAAAAAAAAAACAATGTTATACCGATCCCTGGTCATAGCAGCGAGAAGACGAGTTGTAATGACCAGGGATCGGTAGCATTGTTTTTTTTAGATTTTTTTAATTTTTTCTTTTTCGACGGCTGATAATAACTGGGAGATAAAGGATAATGATAAATGATAATGATTAATTCGAAAAATGTCGGAAATTTGAAATCCTCGATCGAATTGCGAAAAAATGACGTAGACACAAAATTTCATTGGTGGGTTGAAGATTGACTGCATGACTGCACAATCGCGATCTTGCAAGCAAATACTACTTTAAAAATCAATTCGCAGGGGAATTGCATACTTTCTAGGCATTATGAAAAACACGCAGGGTATAAAGGAAAAAAACTCCAGATCCTCTTGTAGAATTTCCGCACTTTTTCGGGACTTCCGGACTGCCCTCTCAAAATCCGTAATGTTTCCGGACTTCCCGGAAATTCCGGGCTAGTAGATACCCTGATCACGTTTTCATTGTTTGATCAATTCATACACTTGTTTTTCGATTGATTCATGTCGATCGAATCCATACCCTTCAAAGTAGCTGATGATTTTTTAGTACAATGATTTTTTTTTGGAGACTACCTCGGGCAATAAGAGCGAAAGACGACGGGGAGAACAAAGCTCAGCGAATAGAGCGGGGGTTGGCCGGGCAGTTGCTCAAGATAGAGACTCGCAATTGCGCGAGTTTAAAACGGGCTGATATAATTAATGTCCCGGTCTCGCGGGTGGGGCAGCGCAGCGCTCGGGAAGGGTGGGGGTGTAATCAAAGCAGCCTTGATAAGACTGGTGTAAGGGGGTGGCCATTGGAAGGGACGCAAGTCATCCCTGCTGCCCGTATCGATCAGCGGCATTGTTGAGTGGCCACTGGCGGAGTTTCGCTTGGACCGGACCTTACTTCATTAGCACCTCTGGATGCTGCGCGCCGCCCGGGGAGTGGCGGGGGAGGGGGACAGAGAAAGGGTGGAAACAGAGAGAGACGGCATAACTCGGCGTGTGAGGGAGGGGGTACGCGGGCGCCCAAGGGAGGGGTGCTCCTTGGATTTCACCGTGTTAACAAACGTAATGGTGCCCTCTCATTCCAAGAGTGGAAATGCAAAACATCTTAAGCGTTCCTACCATGTGATAAGAATTTTCTCCACGCGTAGGGCGCCACCAAAACATTTTGAATTGGGTGATCACTCTTACGAGTGCATATTTGGGTAAGTCAGATCCACCATTAAAAAATAGTTCAATCTCGACGATTAATTGGACCGCGTTTGGCAGTAGGGAACCAAGCCACATCAACCGTTGCCAAATTTAATTAGGCAATTTAATGTTATACATGAAATTGGTTATGCGGATTTTATTTTTTTTGCAAATCTGAATGAATTTTCTGCATCTTCAGAAGCAAATTCCTTAAAATTTTCAAAGGAGCCCGCACAAAAATTCTCCTTTAAAAATTTAATTTGCCCATTTAAATTTAGCATTAGCTGATGTGGCCTGGTTCCCATCTGCTAATCGCGGTTCGACTATCGTTCAGTAAATCAATAGTTCTGTCTGGGAGCAGTTTCCTTTCTCCTCTACTATTCGCTATTTGTAGTCTAATCAAGAAAAATTCTGCAGCTCTAATAATCATTATTTCTTAGTAAGGCATACAACTAAATCTGTGTCACATTTTATTCAGGTAGGTTAGCGGTGTTTTTTTTATGTCTGGCGAGCGGGAAGTTTGAATTTAAGAACACGAAAAACTCTAAAGAGTTTATTGTAAATCTAGAAATTCACGATATGTCTATTCAACGGTTTGACTGCAAAACTGCGTATTTCGGTTACGATGTCTTAAAATCTCCGCTATTTTACTTTTTAGGAGGCGACCAAACCCTACATCATCCCTTAAAAGTTTCACAGAATATTCTTCAAATAGAAACGAAAAATCACCGGAGATTTTGAGGAATGACGTAGATTGATTTTCGATGTAGAACAGTAAGTATGACAGGATGTCTGCGATGCCGTAAACCGAGATACGCAATTCTGCAGTTGCGCCATCGTAGGTACTGTATTTTATAGAGAGTTTCATTGAGAGATATGCACTACAATGCTAGGTCTCTAGTCTTGTGTATTTGTCAGGGGGCCACGGGTGTATTGGCATCTGAATGACGTGCCGCAAATTGTATTTGGAAAGTGCTATACCTCATTGTGGCATTCATGAAAAGTATTTGATCTGTGAAGTGGTGTAATATTAACCTCAAAAATGGCAAAACTACGCATAAAATATACGAATAATTTTCACGAGGAGCCAAAGATTTTGTTACGAAATAGGTTTGTAACAGCCTTTCTTCAACATAGCAAATACCTGAGGACGTGACCTGCGCTTATAAACTTCCATCCGTAACAGTTCAAGCACCCGGCTCTTCCTATTTTTTCCTCATTTTGCGTCATGAAAATCAGCACGCAGAATTGTTTAGAATGTATGTTTACAATGTATTTATCAATCTTTCCCCCAAAATTGACATCGTTTAATATCTCGAAGTACCTTTACTTTTCTTAAGAACCGCTTCCAACCTCACAAAAAGCGGTTCCAGTACATCATATGACGAGGCCGAAAAATAATTCGATGGCATTTTGATGAGTTAAAGTTTAGCAGAGACGAACCATGGTTATTTGGGAGCAGGCAGTAGGCGCAATACTGTTGGCTGGTTAGTTTGTAAGAAAATTGTAACGAAAATAAATGTAAAACCAAACTTCAGTTAAAAATTTTCAATATAGTAGCACCATCAATTTGTCCCAACTCGTCGTGGAAGGTACTTAATTTGTTTTAAAAACAATTTTAAGTGTTAGGTATACATCAAGAAAAAAGAAAACAAAACCAAAGTGACTATTTTCGGGGGGCGGGTGTATCTCACCACGGAGTGAATCTACCAAAGTTGCTCTTTAAATGTCTTTTTTTAACATTTGAATATCTGCATCAGTGGAAAAACCGCTGAAGTTCCGAGCCACTTCCTCCAGCGCAGGATGCTTCCTAATGATAAAACCCACGAGTGAAGGCACAAGCTATAATTTTTAAAATGGTTACCAAATACGCATGCTACTTGATTGTCTGACATGTAACCGCGGTTTCAAAGATGGCACAGAACATTGGCTGATTTTTCGAACAGAAATCTAAGAGGCTTGGAAGAGGGCGCATGAGGAGCTGTTCAGGTGTTATGTAACGAACTTTTTCCGATTTTTTGAACCCCCCCCCCTGCTCATTGTAACGCACTCGTAACGCAGCCTTACACTCCTCCCCCCTTATGGATTATGTAACGCTGACCTGACCCCCACCCCATCACTTTTCACAGAATATATTTTGAGATTAGTTTTAATTGGAATGGTTAATATCCCAATTTTCTAAAACTGCACTAGTGCGCAAGGTAGCAAAATTTCACTTGAAATAGTTCCGAAAAAGTCAAAAATTAATGAAATAAGTCATTTATAATTAAGAATTGGGTGCCAAAGATTAAGGTATCAGGTTTCCTCTAGGTATTGCGGGTGCGGGCCACATACCTAGCCCCCAAAGAATGCGTCTCAATAATGTCATAAATGTCATAAGTTTCACAGCTCCATGAAATCTCTAGAAATATTTCACGGAAATCTCCTGTGTTTCTTATAATTCTCACATTTCACGCCACATTACCCATGCACCTTGTACCCAAGCCCCTTACATGGAGAATAATTGGACAGCACTTTGCAATACCTAA